TGCGCTTTATTCTACAACCATTTAACAGCGTGTTAACATCATGACGAGTTCACTACATATTCACATATATTTTTATATTCTTTATAAATCGTAAAATATTTACGCGCCACAAATTATTGCAGCCTACTCTCACATCGACACACACACACACAGAGCAATTATCATCAAAAGTGTCATAAACATAGGCCACTTTCATTTTCTGTATATTGTTGTGTGTCGCTTGTCATCCTTACGCAATTTTTGCTGCCTTTATGATACTCTTTCAGCGCCTCCATGCATCCTCAGTCAATTTGGCTTTCATTAGTTCCAGCAACGCCTTGCTACCTCACGCATACGCGCACGCTTCAATTTGCTGATTTGATAAGCGTATAAAATGCCATTAGCACGCATTACAATTACATAGTTGTTGTTGTTGTTGTTGTAGGCAGCACACACACACTATTATATTTATGGTCACAACTGTGCATTTACTACGCCGAGAAAGAATGAGCAACAGTGCCACAAAGCTTTGGCAAATTTGCACTTTTTTTACACTCCTCTTCTTCTTCTTTCACATTTCCATGAAATTCTTTTACTAAAACCTACATTTTTTACTACCAATTTATTAAATTAAAAAGAAGAAGCGCGCGCTTTTATATGATTAATTTCGCCTTTGAAAAGCATATATGAATATATGTATGTATGTTTGTGTGCATGTATGCATGTAGTAGTAAGGCTAGTACCATAAAAGTTTACTGTAAATTAAATGCCCCGAAACAGTTAACTTGTTCATTGCAATATACAAATATATATATTTATGTGGGTAGGCAGGTGTGCCCATAAGCTGAGTCAGGTAAATGCATATGAACGTGCACACACACATTGATAGTCAAATATATAGCAGTAGCTTCGCACTCAACTTCAACAATTCATTTACTCGTGTTAGCGATGTTGTAAATGCAGGAAATTCGCTAATAAAAAATACTTAACATGAATTTCTTTCGCCACTGCTTTCGGAGTGGGCGAAATGCCGCCACGTGGATTTTTTCCATTTATTCCTATCGTTGTTTTTGTTATTTATTTTTAAGCATTCCTATCATAGCTTTTGCAGGTCGTTGTATGTTAACAGCTTTTCCATATGCCATATTTTGTTAGTGTATTTTTGTGTGGGAGATTATCCTTGAACCTTACACTCATCTTTAAAATTCAATTTGCAAGCAGCCGTACAGTGGTGGACATTGCAAAATAACTATTTGCAAAAAAAAAATATTTTTAGGAAAAAGTTGAAAAAAGACAACAATTTAAAACAAGTAAAAACGCGCTAAGTTCGGGCGTAACCGAACATTTCATACTCTTGCAACTTGCAAGTATGAAAGCAGGGGACTTACTTTCAGGCATTGGCAGAAATTTATATTAACACTAAGGGAGGCTACAGGGCAGTTATGATTTAAATCTACCCATATTTGACATATATGTTTCCGAATATATTGCATAATATTATCGGGAAAGATTTTTTTTTTTCTCAATTTCAATTTCACAGGTTGACCGATATTTTCGATAAAATGTTCGTTGTAGGAACTGGGGTCCACATATTCGGTATCTGGGGGCTGGAACAGTTGTAGTCCGATTTTGATTATTTTATTTTATCAGGTGGCCTACTTTAAGCGCACTATTCGGGCAAAATTTGATGATGGTTGATTTGCATACTGAAAAGTAAAAGAATCAGATGGAATTTACAATTGTAATATAGGAATGTGAAAATAATTTAATGTACCAAATTTTGTTTAAATTGGTCGAACACATCCCAATATATCGGTTTTCAGCTCAATATGGGCGGTGCCATGCCCATTGTACAATTTTGATACGAGCTTGTTTTTATCATATCGGTTACAAAATTTAGTGTCTCTGGCGCATTTATTTATGAGTTATTGCACTTTTAGTGGTCTGATTACGCCCATCTACGAACTATTTCTTTTTCGTTTTTTCATTTGTACCAAGTTTCATCAAGATATCTAAATTTTTACAGACAGTCACTCGGATTTTAACAAGTCTTGGTACTATTACAGACTTTTCTAGATATATTACATTTTAGTTTTAGTTATTGAGGTCGAAGAGGTGATTTCATGGACATAAATGTTAAAAATTTAGATTAATTTTACTTATAAAGCTCACGTAACTTGCCAACAGCCTCTGAATGAGCTAGGTTAGGTCGAAATTTCAAAGATGTTAGTATTTTTTCAGACAACTGAACAAAATTTATTCAAGAAATTCCATGTTAAAATTCTCTATACTCTTAACTGATACCCATTTGTCAAGACAGAACACTAAACTTAATCGTATGTAGTCTAATGTGGTTACCATATACCATACGAGGTTAAATTTATATATTACTTTTTGTTTCAGATCATTTGTATTCTCAGTATGGTGCTCAATTTTTAGTAAAGTGCATTCTTGTGTTGATCAACATAAACTAACCTAAAAAAAAATTAATTTGAAAATTATCAGCGTTATCAACTGTTTTGACTTCAATATTTTCTTCACATAAAATAATTTGGTTCTCGATTTTGATACTTATACTTGAAATGTTTCAAATATGTACAATGTATGCGTTAAATCCTTTAAAGTATTATTTTTTTATTTGCCACTGCTGTGATTGCTGCACCATATGCTGCATTAATTTATAAATATTTGTATTTATTTCTTTTTCCAATACAATTTTTTCCTCATCAATAAGCACTTAAGCTATTTATTTGATGTGTTAGCATTGCAAAAGCAGCGAGAACGTTGATCAGAATTCTCGAAAGTTTTGTTCTTCATAATATTATACAGGTGTTGCCTATTTATTTATAGATTCCTTTTTTTTTTTAAGAAGCCTTGTCGACTGCGTCACCAAAGTTCAAAACTATGATAATATTTTCTTCTATAATATTTTATGATCATTGAAGAGAGCTTGTTGCTTGCCACACGTTCACTTAAATTTTTAGGTTATATAAAAAAAGTCAATATACAAAAGCCTATAACATTTCCATATATTTTTTTGCTATAGAACACATAGTTGTGTCGGAAATCAAGATCAACCGTTTTCGACCCTTGAAATTTCCACCACGCGCCTCCCGTTATTTTTCCCTTAATATTGGTTTCTTCATCTTCCGATGGGTTTCATCCAACTAGAGATTTTTTTTGTTGTTTTCAAAACTTATCTACTCTGGTCTAATACTCATTGGAGATTTCGCAGCTACTTTCTCAGTTGTAAACCCAAGTGCCCAAAACGAGTATATTAAGATTTTGAGATCGTATGAAGGTTTGTATCTCCCATTTCAACAGAGCGCTGCTTCATCTCAATTAAAGAAGTTTAATGTTTGAGTTTATGTTAGACTTTGGATTACAACAACAACTGCATGATGTTGAAATAGTTGCTAAGTTGCTTGAAAACGATTTTTTAGATTTGTGAGTCGTTCAATCGATTTTATATTGGATGCATTCCTTAGTTAACTTTAAGTAGTTTCCAAATTCGGTAGCCTCTCCTAAAGGACTGCACGCTCCCAATTTAGCGAATTCGAGAATTCCTATATGTTTGTGAAAAGTTATCAAAATATTTGCTTTAACATTTGCTGACAATTTTGCACTTGACTGTTGAATTTTGATGTCCTGATGTGGCATAGAAATAAATGCGAACTCGTGTGCCAAGTTTTTGCAACACGACTCTCTGACCGCCAAACGAGCAGTCACGTTACGTGACACAAAAAAAAGAACAACAAAAGCAAAAACTACTTACACTTGAGGACTGACAATGAATAAACGAAAAAGGGGCGCGCCGACGCTTCAACAATATTTTTCTTTTTTTTCTTTTTGTTGTGCTGCCCAGTTGTGCGCTCATTTGTCATTTTACTTTTTAAGAATGAGCACCAGCAACCTGTCGAGCATGTTGCCACTTGCCTGCTGGGTTATGCAGTTTGTTGTGGTTGTTGTTGACTTAACTATAATTAAAAGTGTGCCAATGTTTATTTCCGCAAATTAGTTTTGTTAATTAAATGACAGCATATACACGCACATACTTGCATACATATACATCCGTTTGACACTGACAATGGCAGCGCCAAAGCCCTTCTTCTTTTGACCGCCACCACTTGTTTGCTGTTATCCTGTTTAATGCCACATTTACTTGGTGATTTGCTTGGTGGGTGTGCTTCTTTTATGCTTTCAAGTTGACTGGTGTCCATGCCACAGCATGTCGGTAAGTGGCACGTACAATGAATTGTTGTGTTTGTGACTGTTCGTGCCACACATGGCCTTTTCCCATTGTTTTCGTAACGGCTTTGTCTCACTTTTCTTACTTACCGCCCATTTAACTTGCCCCGGAAAGGTTAAGTGGTGTATGAAGTGTGCCAGTTTTATGAGAAAGCCACTCAGTGTAAAGTAAGTGGCGTGTGGAATGCGCCATTTGTTTGAACTTTTATGTTGGCGCTTTGTTTGGTTCGCATTATTTGTCATTACACCTGTGTTAGTTTTTAGCTCATATTTTGAAGATTTTCGGCGGTATATAGTCGCAATCGGCATATTTTTTATATTGTTTAATAAATTTTGAATCCAAGACTCGAAGGATGCAGTTTGAATAACAATTCTTCGGAAAGCTTCAAGGAAACCTAATGAAAATTAACTTCTCTCAAAAACTAATTTTTGAAATCAAAATAACGTTGTACTAATATTCGAAGTTCAAGAAAAAAAATTAACTTCTTTCAAAAATTAATTTTTCATTCTGCTGTTCATCCTTAAAATACATTTTTATAAAACCTCAGTTAATCTGTCTAGTTTGGTGTTCTATAGCCTACAAGCGCCCCTAGTTCCTAACAGCAACATCATCTCTTCTCGAAACGCCAGCAAACTACTTTAAGTTTCTGCCTTTCCTTTCAACTACCGACAAGCGTAATGTTTTTAATGGTTTTATAGAAATAAATTTTTTCTAAAACATATTTTTTTCATTTTAGCATTTTTAATTAATTTTATTTTATTTTTATTTACAGCTGAATCTATGTGTGCGAAGAACTCTGGCTGGTGATGCCGCAAAGACAACAGCAATTAATAGCCAACGTAGGTATATTAACCTCGATAGTAACATAGTTGAATCTTCCACAAAATGGCAGTAAGCTATGCCTGTCTCGCGGTGCAATATGTGGTGGTGCCGACGGTGCTGGTGTTGGGTAAGTATTTCAAAACTTTTTACACATACATATATGGTTATATTAAGTTGACAAGTTAATGCCAGCAAAGAAAATTATTGATTTAACTTATTTTGTTTTGAAATTCGTGGTTTTTTTCTTATTATACTTCCCAAAAGTAGACTACAAGTAAGGTCAAATAGTTGAAGCATACTTTTAGGTTTTTTATACATGCGAACTGTTCAAAATAGTGCAAGTTTCTTATTAGTTAGACTTTATTATTTCATTTTAAGTGTTTTTTTTCATTAAATTATATTATTATAGTATACTTTAAGGCGTTCTTCGAATACTTATATCTAGGCACTAGATTCAAAGTAAGCCAAATCAAAATACTCTGCTACAAGGCTTGGTTTTTACAGCTTTTACGATTTTTTTCTAATATAGCATAGTTTTAGGCTGATACCGAAAAGCTGTACTGTTTAGATATTAAAGTGTGTAATATCAAAAAAGCATACGTTTGGTTACAATATTCAGGATAGTCTCATACACATCAGATGCGTGCTTTTTGAAGTTTATATAATTTTGAAAGAGTTGCCACCCGGATGGAAGATGAAAGTTATTTCAATATGTAAATTATTAAATTAAAAAAATTCAAACAAAAATTGTCACTTTATGTAAGAAGTTAACATATTATAAAGTAATATGTAGCAGTCAAGAACATTTAAGTAACGAAATGAATGTAGTCTGCTTTCAGGCTGCCTTACTTCGTTTTTTTTTTAAATTATTATTTTAATTGATTTTTTATATACTATTTGATTTTCAACTTGCAGCTGCACTATTTCGTCCTGCCGGTATTTCGTTCGTGTACCTGTTAATGTTTTTTATAACGCCCTTTATCCCCATTGCCAACAGTCGCAATTTCAAAAGTTCTGTTGGACCATTTTACATCATACTCATCGCGCTATGTTCACTACTATTATTATGTCATATAGTACTGCAAGTGACAATAATTGCTATGAAGATCGAGTCGGTCTTCGCTATGTGTTCATTTACGCAACAGCTGTTGCGACACATCGGCTTCATTAATCTGCAGGATTTGCAGTAAGTCCAACACAAATACCGCTATTAAATAAATTCTAATAAATATAAAATTTATATATTTTTTTACGCAGTCCGATTGCTGCCACCGAATGGCATATGCCGGATGTGCTGGTCTTTATCACAGTGGTGATTTCATTTATAGTCATAAAGAAATTGAGCCAGAAACCACCGCCGATCACTTTGCAATTGGAAACTGGTGAAGTTATACCAATACGAAGTTCAACGGATAGCGACAACACGGACGATGAAGCCTTCTTCGATGGTCTAATTCGAATATGTGAGTGAAATACATATTAGATTTGAAATGCATTTTGTTATTGAAGCTTGGAAAATAATTATTTTTTTACTAACAATATTTTTATAATAATTTTTATTAATATTTTTTTTTTTTATTAAACATTTATTTTTTTTATAATACTTTTTTTATCAATAATATTATTTTGACAATATATTTTTGTTAATATTTTTTTAATAATATTTTTTTATCATTTAATTTTTTTATCATTTAATTTTTTTGAATACTTTGAGTGAGGGAAAATAATTATTATCTTTAATACTTTTTTTAGGAATACCTTTTTTTACTAAAAATATTTTTGTTATTTTTAATATTTGTTTTAATAATAAGTTTTTTCTTAATAAGACTTTTTTGTTATTAATACTTTTTTATTAATAATATTTCTTTTTATTAAGAAAAAATTTTTTATTATACATTTTTTAATCAATAATATTTTTTTATCATTTTATTTTTAAGGGATTTTTTTCTTATTATTAATATTTTTTTATAGTTTTAATAGTGTTTTCTATCAATAATATTTTTTTATTAAAATTTTTTTAATAATAATTTTTTTTTTAATAATAATATTTTTTTTAATAATAATATTTTGTTTCTGTTTATTAATAATATTTTTTATTAACAGTATTTATTCGATTAATAATAATTTTTTATTATCCCAGCGCCTCTCTTCTGCCTGGCAATGCTATTTGTTATAGCAGTGCTGCGGCCGTCAGCGCCAGCCGGCTTCTATTTTCTCATATTCTTGCTGAGCGGTTCCTACTGGGCCACCTATAATTCGCTGCGTCGGTGAGTTTGCTTAATAATTATCAATTTTGAACTAAAATATGTTTGAGTTACAATAAATTCGCTTACTTTCACTTACATTTAAAAATCTTTAGTGGTTTCTCCGTGCTGCTGCGTTTCCTGATGCTGGTTATCGCATTACATTCGGTCTGTATAGTGGCCTATCAGACACCTTGGGCGCAATATTACCTGAGCAGTGATAATTTAATAGCGAGGTGTGTAGAATATACAAATTAAAGTACTTGAAAGGTTTATAAAAATAATTTCTTATACTTACAGATTGATCGGTCTGGAACCGTTGGTCCTCTCCTCATGCGATCGCGACATACGCGTCATGAGCTATAACCTAACATACAGTTTCGACTCGTTTATTCTGCCCATCCTAATGCTGTTAACATACTTTGTGCTTGCGCTGACCGCCAAGTGCCTGAGCAATGCGAATGTGAGTAGCAATTTAAAAATCTTCCAATTCCAAGTACACTTATTTTTTAAATATCATACATACATACATATCTAATACTACTTGGCATTTTAACCAATTTCATGGTTATTGTGTATTAACCAATCGTCGAATGTGCACACAAAAAACAACAACAAATGCATTTTCATAGCAAACAAAAAACTGCATAACACAATAAATTACCCCTACATTTTCAAATGGCTTTTGGCATTATTTTCTCTATTATTTTTATATAAATAAGATTTTCGTATGTGAACTAATTTGACTAAAACTAAAAAGTGAAAAATGTAACTGAAATCTTGTATCTTTCTTTCTTTTAATGCTGCTTTTGCGTCCAAACTAATATGCTACTGCTGCTACGCCGAAAAAAAAAATTTTAATTCCAAAAATATAAAAACATTTAACAAAAAAATCTAATTCGAACGTTACATATAAAACATCTTTTTTATTTATTTAAAATATGTCTATTTCACATACACAAATATATTTTCTATTTGTTTCATCTCTTTTACATCGAATTCTAAAATTAATATCTTATAATTGTGCACTGTGTTATCCGGCAAACACGCATACGACATGCCACAGGTCACTGCAAAGCCCAAACCAGTCATAGCCCAATTAGAAAATGGCAGTAAATTAGCTCGTCAAATATCACGCATAACGACACATTCATCGCGTAGTAGTAAAAAAGATAGTTGGAAGCGCGCACAGCGTCTCACTGTAAGCAAAGCGTATTTTTGTTTTGTGGTTTTTTTTTTGTTTTTGTATTTTATTTTTTATTTTTTGAAAAATTCGCCCCACGCGTCATAAGAGTACGAAAAAGAAATTGCAATATTTGTTGTGCACACAAGAATGCAGGCATTACGTTCTTCAAAATAGAGTTCTGTGTAAAAAATACATTTATTCATGAAATTTTCAGCCAAACGTACGTATGTATTTCAAAAACATTTGTCGGAGCTGAATTAATATGTTTTAATATCTGAGCGCCTAGTTCACATACCATTATGTTGCTAGTAACAACAGTAGACCTATCGTTAGGCATCGCGAATGTGAAAATCTCAAGCTTCTTTATTACTTGTCAGTTTAAAGTATTCTCTATAGGAAAGTCATACCTTCTTTCTTGTCAGTTTTAACATACGAACATAAAAAATAAAAAATGCACGATGTTTAATGTTTCTGCCGAGCACATAAACCAAACATTAGTGTTAGTTGATGTGTCAAACTGGCGCTTAGACCTTTGCTATGTGTTCGGTTGTGCTTCTTCTTCTAAGAGTGGTTTGCATCTCGATGTTTTTCGTCATCTAAAAAGTCCTACAAATTTTGAAACCAATTTTGATTGCTGATTGATTTTATGAGAGTATTTTTAGGTCAGAAATGCCGCCCAGAGATATGGAAGTCGTTAAAAAATTTTAATTATATTAGATTTTACCTCATCGTGATTTAACCCACTGGGGTCCCCAATAGTCCCAACTATTAAGCAAAAAAGACAAATTTTATGAAAAATTACTAGTAGACCCAATTATACCATCAACAGGGTATATTAAATTTGCCGCTATCTTTATAACACTCAAAAGAAAACGTCAGAGACGAGCTTAGTAGATTTGTTCGTCTGTCTGTGTGTATATACGCGAACGTCCCTGAGTTTTTGAGATATCGTACTGAAATTTTGTAGACGTCCTTTTCTCACCAAGAAGCTGCTCATTTGTCGGAATCGCTGATATCGGATGACGACAGCATATAGCTGCCATACAAACTGAACGATCGGAATAAAGTGCTTGTATGGAAAACTCTTTCATTCGAAGAGATATTTTCATGAAATTTGGCATGGAATATTGTTTAAGGCAATGATGCTATTTTCGAAGAAATTGTTCAAATCGGATCACTATAGCATATAACTGCCATATAAACTGTAAACGATCCTAATCAAGTTCTTGTATGGAAAACTTTTTCATTTGACGAGTTATCTTAACGAAATTTGGCATAAATTATTGTTTAAGGCAATGATGCAATCTCCGAAGATATTGTTGAGATCAAATCACTATAGCATTTAGCTGCTATACAAACTGAACGGTCGGAATCAAGTTATTGTGCGCAACTAAAGTTAACATTTTTTCTTCTCTTAAACTTACCTTAGATCAAATTCAAAATTTTCTCTTTAGGTACAATTACTTTTAAACAAACGTAACAATTGTATCATTGTTCTCTTATTTTTGTTTTTATCATATTCATTTTAAATAAAAAAATGCTAAATATTTCTCATAAAATAATTAAAAATAATTAATTAATAATTTAAATTTTTTACTAAAACAAATATCATAATGCAGGATAATCTATAAAAATAAGATTATTTTGTATATACACTTACATATTAATGCGTAGAAATTATTTCGGTATAAACTTACATTTTTATTCAGGCAGTTTAAAAAATAAAATAAAAAAACATAAGCTTAAATAATAAAAAATATATATATTGTGCCTGTGCTACAAATTACTATTAATACTCATGCGTACTGTATTCAGGTATCGTAGTTAAGTTTGAAATTAAAAACTTGCCATAAAGTTACCTTATGTGTCTCAGCTATGACTTGTCGATGCCTCATTACTCTAGCAACTAACTCCAAAGTAATTATGTCTTGTATTTATACACTATTACACATTTTTTAAATCGTTTATTATATAAAATTATTTAATGTTGTTTAGTAAGCGTGAACAACAGGTATAAAAAAACTTACGCCGCGTAAAATTTCTCAATTTAACTTAAACAATATTGTATTTTATGTACATAAGTAATATAATTTTTAAGCAAAATTACAACAATCTTTTTATTTTTAGACACTTAGTTTAGTTTTGAAATTGATTTGTTAATTTGAAGTTATTTAACAATTTTTTAAATTTATAAATTTTTAAGCTTTGTAAATTTTGTTAAAAATATTTTTTAACTCAAATTCAAATTAGCAAATATTATATAATTTTGAGATATCGCCTTAGCTGTTTAATTTTAACTCCTTTTTTATTTACGCTTTAATTTGTTAACTTGATATTATTTATCTATAAAAAATCTACTTCTTAGCTCTATATATTTTCTATCTGCACACATTACTTAACCTAAAAAATAATTTAGCGTGTAATTTTCGAAAAAAATGTAAATTTTGCACAGTTCTATTGCTTTCAATTGCGTTTGTTTTAAGTTTATGCTTTTCTACTTTTACTTTAGGTTTCGTTACGTCGTGACCAACGTCCAAAAACTACTATCGAACCGACTGAGACGACACCTGTACGTAAACTAACCTGTGTGTTAAATAAATAAAACCAGCAATTGTATTAACTAAATTTAACCTTTTTGCTAAAAAACTTCATTACAATAATCGCTAATCAACTAATAAATCAGCATTAAGTAGCATTAAGTGTTCAAACTGTTTGTCTAAAATTCATGTTATCCTTGTTATAGGTCTATTACTTACCGCTTAGAGAATCTACAGTCTTTAACTAATTTAGAAACGAACTCCTACTGAGTAACTGTTCTTAAGACGTAGATATACATATGTACATATACTAATGCATATAGAATCACTGCACTGTAGTAATAATTAAACTAACTACTTTTCCTGTAGTAATCATTAAACTAACAACATTTTATTTAAAGAAAACATTTTTTTTTTTTATATGAAAAATATTAAAATTGTTTTTCAAGCGCGCTGTTGCTTTTTAAAAAGCAAAATTGAGGCTTTTAACAGCGTTAATTGTTTTTTTAGAACAATTGTATTTTTTGTTACGCTGTCGGTTGAAAATTTGTACATAGCGTATTCATATTAATAAAAAGTAGAATTTCGTTATTCCATTTGTTTAGCGAAAGTCTCTCATGTTATTCTCTCTAACCAAAATTAATTAAACTTTCTCAATTTAATATAATATATAGAGTGAATATAGAGGTTATGCTGTGTAGTAGTTGCTATGCTGACCAGGGTTGTGAATATTTAAATTAAAAAATTTTGGATAAAAAATTTAGTTTTTACTTTTTAATTCCTATGTTAGAATTAAAATTAGATTTTCATTTTTTAATCAAGATGTTGGGATTTTAAACTAAATTTCATTTTTTAAACCAAGATGTTTGGATTAAAAATTAAAAATTCAAAATATTATTTTTTTAATTTGAAGGACCGCTAAAAATATTAATACTAATACAGCCTTTTTTAAATTATACTATATAATTATATGCTTGAGATTAATTTTTATTTTTTTTTTTCAATCCGGTAGTTGGGATTAAAAATTAAAAATAAGTTTTTACCGCTTTTTTGGATAACATTTTTTTTATCCGGTTTTTAAATCCAGTATTTGCAATTACAACATAACTTCAACTGTTTATTCAATAATTTTTAATGCATTATTTGCAATCCTGATGCTGACGTCATAATAGCAATAATCTATGAAATAAATACGAAAAGTGTGTTCTTAAAAAAATATTAATGCTTAAAAGCTTTTTTCAAAGTAAAGTTATTACCACCTAACATTTTCAAAACGCGATTTTCGCGCTCACAGCGCATTGCTAATATGACGTCATTTTAGCATTGCTTGCAAAATTCTATCAGCATAATCTTATATTCTTTTATACTTATTTACATTGTACATATATATATACACAAGAAAGTATAAAAATTTAAGAACATAAAATAAAAATTAGAGCATATAGCGAAATTATATATAATTATGCCAGTTTTGTCTATTTAAAAGAGTGCGTTGTTATAATAATTAATTTTAATAATCTATTAACTAACGTTAAATTAACATGCATACACTTAAAATTACCCCCAAACTAACTTCTGTTCATCGTTCACATTCGTTTTGTCCAATTAGCAACTCCTGTTGGAAATCACAAATTAATTAACCTCATCATTGTGTTCGTTGAGAGTTTAACGGTTTATAATATTCCCTTTGTCTATGGTCTGACTGTTTGATTTATTGATTTTTGAATTCTTTCACTTACTTTTTTTTTGTTTTAAACTAATATGCTATAAATATTTTTTTTGCGAACAGCTGGTGAAACGCTTGCGCAAAAGTGACGCAAGAGAAGTAACAAGTGATGAGGCAGCCATGGATCTGCAGGACTCCAGCTCACCGGATGTCTTTACGAATACCATATGTGATCAGATATGCTATGGTTTTATAAGCATTGGACAATTTATTTATCAAAACAGTTATATTTTTACGAATATATCAATGATGGTGAGTGATTTTATTTTTATTTATTTATTTTTTAAATAAAACTTAAAAACCTTATACTAACCATCTCCTTGCTCTTTCTAGACCTGGTCCATTGTCTATCACAGTTGGCTGACCTTCGTGCTGCTGCTATGGGCCAACATACTCTGGATGATACCGAATCAGCGCAAAGCTATGATGCGTTCCAGTCCCTTCATCGTGTGCTATGCTGAGCTATTGCTGATAGCGCAATATGTTTATGGCATGAATCTGAAAAACGACGAACTACCCTCCAAAGTTGAGGTAAGTAGGTGAGCGTTTATTTAAACGCTTTCCATTCCACTTTTTGCGCACATTTTATCACTAACATTGTTATTTTTTTTTAGACTGCCGGCATTAATTTGCAACAAATCGGTCTCGAGCGTCCGCAAGAACATGGCACACATCCGTGTGTACCGTTAATTGTGAAAACTTTATTTCTGCTTATGTTTTGGGTAACCTCAAGACAGTTTTTCCAAGAGAAAGCCGAGGAGAAGCTGATAAAACGTCGTGCACCGGTGGCGATGCCACTGGAAACTATTGATTCGGAGACATCTGTGGAATCGCAAAATAAGCATACATCGAAATTCCTTAAGAAAATCGGTGATATCGTGAAGAATTTGTTGGTGCGCCTTTGGATTTGGATGTTGGTATTGGTCATCTTCTTATGCGCTATGACTGGCAAATTTATGACCGGTTTTCGCATATGCTACATGGCACTATTCCTTTTCTTCTTACTCGTCTTCCAATCATCGTCGAAAGTGTGGGTCAAAGTTATGTATGGCTTCTGGCTGTTCATCATCTTCTATGCCATGTCCATGCTGATACTTATCTACACCTATCAATTCGATAAATTTGATCAGTATTGGTATGAGTACTTGAATATATCACAAACGCTGTGAGTAGTCAACCCTTTGTAATATTTGCGTGTAATTAATTTACGCTTCTCTACTTCTCCAGTCAAAATGATATCGGTTTGGAGCGTTATAAAACGAAAGATCTGTTCCTGCATCTCGTCTCACCAACTCTGATTGTGGTCTTAACCGTCATACAAGTGCATTATTTCCATCGTCGCTTCATCGAATCGCTGCATCAGCGCAAAGCATCCATATTACCCCATATGGTACATATTGGAGATGGCAAACCGACTAAAACAGAGCCGCGCGGCAGTAATGAAGCAGCTAAATTATTGGTTTCATCTCTGAAACGTATACGCAAAATAACGAAACATTATTTTATTGTTTCGAAAAAGCTGTTTTGGCGTTTCCTGGAGTTGCACATCATAAAAGCCGTCTACATTACGGCGTTTGTATGTGCCGTTAGTCAGGTAAGTTTGATTTTAGTTGAAACAACAAACCTTTTTATAAAAAAAAAAAAATTGTTAAAAAAAATATAAATAATGCTACTTAAAGATTCAAAAGTGCATTGTTTTTGAATTCAAAACTACATTTTTATTTATATTTTAGCATTATAAATTTAACATTGTTAGTTGCAAATTTATCATAGCCTCAAAACACTTTGTCGATATGTAAGATTTTTAGGTACAACAACGGGCCGGCGTTCTAAGCTGTCCAAGTGAGATCCTTCTTAGGATCGACCTCCTAACCTAACCTAACGTAGTTGCATATTTGGAAATAATATTGAAATTTTCGTAAAACGGTTCAAATTTATTTTTCTGCATTGCTCATTTATAAAGTTTAAAAGACTAGCCAAAAAAAATTATTTTCATTTATATATAATACTATAAATTTCTAATTTGACAAAAAAAATTCAGGTTAAGTAATTCCATATTGATTTTGACATTTTTTAGCCATTTAAAGATTAAAAATTGAGTATATCACAAAATGATTTCGGCGCAATGGTATAATTGGACAACACCCGTGTATGTTTCCTCTTCTTTTAACTCATCAAAACTAGTCATTTATACGAATCCAGCATATTTTCTAATAAATTAAATATATTTTTGACCATTACAGTTCTAGAATATAATTGATTTTTTTTTTCTTTCTTGCATGCTTTCAGGTCTGCGTTATTCACGTTGTGTTCGTAGCATTATGTATACTTGGTTGTATAACGCGAAGCTCTATACAAATATTCATCAGTCGCATAATCTCATTCGTTGTTTCAATAATAATACTATCGAAGATGATCTATCAGATCGGCTATTTAACACACGACGATTACGATGTGAGATGTGTATGTATCCAACCATTAACAACTACAAGCATTTTTATCGTATTTTCACATAAATATATCTCTCTTTTACTTGTAGAAAGATGAGAGCACGTTACATGGCAATAGCGCCGTATGGTTCGGCTTGCAGAAAGCCGATGATACCACAAACGGCTTAATCGGTCTGATAAAAATGTATATCATCTATATGATCGTTGTTACGTTGCATGCTGTGGTGAGTTTAAGACAATTCCAAATGCGCGCAATGGAAGACAATGGAGCCAAGGCGGAAACGAAAGTGCTATTTCCGGCAACGGATCGTACCAAAGCCGAAACGAATCTCAAATCAATGATACAATACCTATTCAATTATGGTTTTTATAAATTCGGACAAGAAATCTCACTGATAATGTTGGTCACGACAATTGCTTATCGTCAGGATATAGTAGCGATTTTCTATGTAATCTGGTTGGCTGTGCTCTTGATGTTTAGCCGCACCAGGCGTAGCTCAGTGTGGGGCATATTCCAAGTATTTATTGCGCTGAGCATTTTTCTGCAATATTTAATTTTGCTGGGGTTGCCGCCGAGTCTGTGTATTGGTGGGTGAAAGAAGAAGAAAGTTTTATTTTATTTTTAAAATAAAATTTTTTATGTTTTTGTATATAAAAACATTGCTATTTTAATAACGTATATGCTTCACCATTATCAATTTCAGATTACCCCTGGGAGAACTCCCGCTTCTCCGCACCTATACAAGGCTGGCTGCTGCTACCTGGTGGCATGCATTATGATCACACGAAAAAGTTGATCTTCGACTTTTTACTACTCCTAATCGTGACACGTCAAAAGCGTATATTCCGCATCGAATTGCGTTACGGCGATCAATATGCCGGTGGTTCGAATCGCAATGTGGTCAAAGATATTGAAAATTTGGGACGCGTGGCATTTGTGAATCCCACGAACGATTTCCTATCGCACGTGCGCAACTATTTGGATATTTTCATGTACGCCGTGTTGTGTGGCTTCTTTTGGGTCACATTGGCAACGGTGTTCTTGGCAGGCACGAATATGAGCGATTTCCTTACATTGGGTTATCTGATTGGCGCCTTCACCTTCCTATGGGAAGGCTCCGATTTCTATTTGCGTCCCATACAACAAATTATCGGTCGTTGGCGTTGGCTACTGGCTTATAATGTCTTCAATATTGTTGTGAAGACATGTCTCGAAATGGCCGGTTGTCTATTTTTAAAGGATCTAACTAAGCATTGCTGTTGGCTTGTGCATTTATTGGGCGTATCATGTCACTTCTCCACAGACTCAATCATGAATGATCCCTTGGATAAAGACGATTCGGACTGTCCAGAGTTAAATAAATCGTCGATACTGATGTGGGACACCATTTGCTTCGCATTCCTTATATTACAAATGCGCATATTCAAGTCACATTACTTCTGTCATCTGATTATTGACACGAAAGCGAACAGCATTTTGGCAACCCGGTAAATTTGTGTGCTAAAAATCTTTTGAACATTTTGATTATGAAATTTTTATATATAATAAATTCTGCAGAGGCGCTGACATAATTGAGGACCTGCGCCAGAAACAAATCGAACATCGTCAGCAGCACGAAAATGAGATTTTGGTAAAGATCAAGCGTAAGATGGAGCGCATACGTGCCACACAACAAAAAATGTTGAAACCCATTGATAAACCCACACATTTCGATGGTAAGTTGAATTTTCAAATTTTATGCTTACAAATTAATACCTTTAGCCAGTTTGTAAAGCAGAAGCGAAATTTATGTACTAGATATGTACATATGTACAGACATATTTTTTATATTTTTTTTTTTTTGAATATGTTTCGAGGTAATGAAATTTCGTTTAATATTGGAGAGTGTTATTATTCATATAACTATATATACAAGTATAACCGTGTACAAAGATTTTTGAACGCTCTTAAGGGGAGTTTCTACCTTTTTGGCCCAAAAACCTACTGTTTTTTCTGGAATTTTTTCTCGGAAAGTGTAATAGGTACAAGGCTGAAATTTTCGCATAGTTGTCGGAAAAAGTTGATTGAAGCTTTATAACATTTTTGTTGCTGATCCAAGTAAAGCGAGAGAAAGGGAGTACCGAACAAAAGCGGCAGGTTGGCGGCGACTCGTTTTCATAGTGTAAGTCCTAATGTCCGTCAATAAAATCTAAACGCAAACGATAAAGATTTTCATAATTTGTTCCCGCATCCGTGGTACTAGAACGATGGAGAAAGTAAAAAACAATTTTTTCGAACTCACGAGGTAGAAACGCCCCCCTTAAGCTTTGCAATGTAGTCTGCAATGCAATTATAAGTTTGCATATTTCTTTCGTGACCAGTAACACAGTACTAAGGCTATATTTTAGCTTATGAAATATTTTTGGAGAGAGTATGAACTCAGCGCTCTTTTTAACTTTGCGGTTATGTCTACAGTTATAAATTTTTATTTTTAATATTTCTTCCTTGAACAATTATTTAGTGTTCAAGGTATGTTTATAAAAGATTTTTTGAAAGTAAACTCTCTCTCAAACTTCAAGGTTATGTCTGCAGTTATACATTTTTATTTTTAATTTCTCCTTCTTGAGCAGTAATTGAATACTTAAGACATATTTTTGGTTATAGAAAAACAAACTATGTTTTGTTATTTTTTTGTACCTAAGTTTTTTTGTAATAAAAATTTTGAGATGTGGCACTTATCCCATTGGCGTCAAAATAATATTTTTTTTTAATTTTTATATAGAGAGAAATAATATTTATTTGGTTAATTCTAAACCTACATTTTGAAAAAAAAAATTATGAATTCTAACATTAATTTTGAAAACTAAAAGAAGCCATTTACAAAATATACTCAAAGCAAATTCTTGTCCTTGCCAAATGAGTTTTATAAAATTGAGGTTATGAAAGCATTCAGTATTTGTTTTCCTTAGGACATTTTTCTCGAATGTCTCAGGTACTAAAATATACATAGAAACACTTTGAAAATACATTATATGGCTCACAATGCCTTGTGCATAATTGTTTTCTTAATCTATAATATATTTTAGGCTAAGCGAGAACAAAACAACTATTGAACTTGAAATTTATGGTTGAATAGGATCCTATCTGTTTATTTTTACATGTTTGCCCCCACATACTCCTCGCTCATCGATCCACTATGTGCTTAGCCTAATATTACATTAGAGATAAATGAGGAGATTAATATTCCACTAACAAAACAAATTTTAAATTTAAAAAAAAAAATTTAAATTAAAAAAAAAAATTAAATTAAAAATCAATTTTTAAATAAAATTAATAAACAAAATATTTTTAAGAAAAAAAAAATTTTTTAAAAATAAAATTAATCAAAAAAATTTTTTTAAGAAAAGACAAATTTTTTTTGAATAAATTTTATTTAAAAGTTACTATAAAGTTATATTCTCTTTGTTATATTTTTAGTGCGAGAATGAGTGTATATGAGATATGTTATGTTATACCATATCGAGTTGTAATATTGAAATTTCGTATCGTTTAAAGTGTATATAAATGTAATAAATATATAAATGTGATAACGAAATTATGTATTAGTACATATATATTAAGTTTAAATTGAACTAAAATATTATTTTTTCAAATTCTAACTTTTATTGCTCGACTGTATTGGGCCTCATAGTTTTTTTGACAGTCGTGTGTCATCGCGTCTACTTATAAGCGCGCTTTTTACAGTCGTGAAATTGTAATTTTATTTTTGATGTGTCGAGTGCATTTCTCAAAATCATTTTTGTACGAAAAATGTTTCTTGATACGCTCAGTTTGATTTCTAAAGTTTTATGCAAAAAAAAAATGCACAATAAGCTCGTATATGCGAGCAACAACACACACAAGCACAACTACAACAAAAACACTCTAAATAATCTATGCTGTAGCAGCTTCTGCCGACACTGAGTTGAAGTCCACAATTCACATGGCGCCATTGGCGCAACAAAGTAGTTTCGCCTCGTGTCAGGGCTCCGGGTATCATACACCCGACGACAACGATACCAGCGAATCGAGCTCAACTACGCGAACGCATAGCAGCAGCAGCAGCAGCAACAGTAGCAGAAAAAGCAAGAAAAATGGTGAAAAGGTGCGTCGTAATAAGCGCATGCGCAATGGCGATATTGATGACAGCGCCAGCGACACCAGCACTGAAGAGTGCGTACATCTTATCGACAATGATACGGTGCAGCACAAAATACGCATTGAGTTCGCCGATTATGGCGGCTCCGATGTGCTGTCCCAAAGCGAGGCCACTGATAATGCGCTAGCCGAGGAGGTTGCTGTTGCTATGCGCTTGCGTTTGCCAGAAATCGGTATTCAACCGCATACACAGGTAAGTAGCACTATGGTGATTCTTTTATGTAACAAAACTCTTCAATTATTTTAATACAACAATCAACTGTTAAAGTTGAAGCCGACCACGCCTACTTCGGATCACACCACTATACCGTTAGATGGTTTTCTGGACGTGCAACGCATGTCATTCGGCTCAGGACCCAATTCGGATTTGGCGGCCGCCATACGCGAAGAGGACTCGGAGATTTCGAATGAGGTCTTCTCACCGCCTACTTATGTAACTTGCATCTATTTTACCTAGCAACATTAGTGCTCATAGTGTTCATTCGTGTGTGTGTACATTTTTTAGGACTCCGTTCAACAGCCGACATTGTTACACACTTTAATGGTGCCAGTGCCAAACTCATGCAGCCTCAATGTGAATGTTAGCGGTGCCAGTTCCAATATCTCCTCGAATTTGGTTACAGACGGTGCTGCCGGAAGTACTGGTAAACATCGTCGTCAATCATCGGTTAATGTTGTATCGTGGAATGAAACGGTTTCAGTGCAATGCGCACCCGATGAAAATACCGATCCCGCTGATGAAGTAGGGTTTGAATATAAAACTGTAGCCAGCAGGAGAAGGTGGTTGACAAAAGGGATATTTCGAAAATTTACCATAAATACTTTTTGGCTAATTCGTTGAAAATATTTAATTTAGACTTTGAAAATCTTTAATATTTGGGCTCATATTACGATGGCGTATAGCTTAGCCTATACAATATAATCAGGATTTCAGAGATTACACAGTCTATTCTGCCCAAATATGCTATATGATCTAAAAATGTATTAAATCTCCTAAATATCCTGTTTTCGTAAACCTCGTATAACTCGGTTCAATTACGGTTCGTGGACCCGTTGAGGTTATGTTTTTTTGTTATTGTTGTAATGCCGGTTTTTTAAACCTTAAGAGATGTCTAATTCGCTAGCTTTCGTTTATAAAGGACATATAAATTATTTTGCTAATGTCTTACGAGGTTCTACAGATTCACCTACAGTCGAATAGTCGAAATCTATTTAAATTAACATTCAACAAATTTAAAAAAATCCTTTTCGTCAAGCATCTTTCCCCTTGACTACCAGTCTACTCCAAAATACCCCGACTTATCTCAAATTAATAATAACAATCACAATTTGGCCGCGCAGCCTTCGATGGAAATGCCCGTTACAATGCGTGAGAAGTCGCTGCATCGTCGTCACCTCAGCCTCGGCAATGCCACATACCCGTTGGACGAGGAAAGCATGTTGCAGAATAGTAATCGCCGCTACAGTAATGTGTCATGGGCACGTGATGCCGAGGCGCAACGCACCAAACTACGACCGCACAGTTGGGGACCCGTTGGTACGGCCTATTATTTGGATTCGTTGATGAGCGAAACCGTCGATACGACGCTGCATGGACAATGTGATTTGGAGATTAACATTTTTTTCTCTTATGCCGCTCTAAGCATATGATTTTTTTTTTTTTTTAATTTAGTAATAGTATTTTGTAAATTGTATATATTTAACGAAGAAAATGTGTGATAATAGACAATAAAGTTTATTTAATTCAAACAAAAAACGAAGCACTGCATTTTGTAAATAACACGAAGAAAATTTTTTCGAATTACTAACGGCGTTTTATTGCGTAACTATTAACACTGTCTAACAAAAATGCTGTACAAATGTAAAATAAAGTGTGTAAAAAAGTTCTTTCTTTAATAATGTAACGTAGTTGAGGCGTGTTGTCGGTGATCGTCTTGAAAATTTAAAGTAAATAATTTTTTTTTTATAAATATTCTTAACATTTATAAAAAAAAATGTATAAGCGTAGACTTTTTCAATAACTTTTTTTATATATATAATATATAAAACAACTAAAGTGCTTCCAATAGTCTTCCACAAGAGGTGGCTACGTAGCAAACGCATTTATGCCGCCATTTGTGTTATAAGCCTGGCTTCAGTAGTGTACTTTTATTATTGCCAGCACATTTTATTTTGCTTTCCGGCATTTTAATTAACTTTAATTATTTAAGTTTGATATTCAATTCATTTGTTTGTATGCTTATTACGTTTATTTTTTCTTTGAATATATTTTTTTGAATACTTCTAGAACATGGTGCTCCGAGCAAACTGCACAAACGGAAAGAGATTAAGTTACACGGACCTGGTAAAACCCATTTATTTTATACTCGCTTAAAAATATTCATTTTATATAAACACAAATGTTTATTTAATTATATGTTTAAATGATGTACTTATTGCTATTATGTTTATTTTAGTTTAGTACCCTCTTCGTTTATGCACAAATCGCTTGTTACGAACTTTATTACTCCCCTTTTATTTGTATTTGAAATTTTTTGAACAATATTTTTTCTTAAAGAATTGATATATCATTTTTGCTAATGCATATAATCGTACCTATGCAATTTTTTCCTTGTAAATATATACGAGTTTATGTGAATAAGCTTGCCTTCTTTCAAGTTTATCACCTTTGTATTATACGAGTATTTTACTTATTCCCTACTCTTTTGTATATTTGTATGTTTGCGTGTGATATACTATTTCTATTGATATATATTTATGAATATGAATGTGTTTGTCGTCGATTTTTTACTTATTGTATGTTTTTTTTTTTTTTTTGATATATTCAAAAAGTAGCTTAGAATGTTCCAAGACTTTTTCATAATATATTTATGTTCATATATTTATCTGTATATATTTTTTAATTATTACCTACATATAATAATAATAATTTAGCTTAAAATTTCAATTATAAATACTTTTAGCTTTAAATACCCTCAATTAGTTCGTATTCCTTCATCATACCTATAACAAAGATTGCATCTCGCCATCATATACAATATTTTTAGTTTGGGTTATACTAATATTTAGTACAAAGCTATTACGTTCTTTAAGGTAGCAGTCTGGTATTTTTGTCTTTTTTTTTAAATTAGTTGTTTCGTGGCACTGAAGTGAGCGTCTCAAAAATAAGAAAAAGCACCAGCCACCCCCATTGATTTGGTGGCTTGAGAATATCTGAAATAGTAAAATCAAAAAGATTATTTTTCTGTGAGATTGTCATTCTGTTTGGCTGGATTACTTAAACAATTGAAAAACAAAAAATGGTTGATTTAAAAAAACAGTGAAATTTTTTCAAGGCAGAAATCGGACTGTAAAATGGAAAGTTAGCGATAAAAAAATCAGAGTTTCTGCTAGAGCTATTGATGATTAGAATAACATATTCATTTCAACCCAATCGGTTGGATAGAAAATTGTGTGTCATCCGGGGCAATCGTAAGAACGTTGTTTCGAGAAAAACGCTTTTAAAATTTCAACAACAGATTAAATATGTTTCATAGAATTATATTTATCATTATAGACAAATTATACTACATACCAATCGTCTATCCTTGATACGTATAATAAACCTTCAACTTCTACATAGTCCTCATTGTTAGTCACTTTTTCTGACCTCCTACTCATTCTGGCAATTTTAAAAAAAGAATCTGCGTTATTCCCCGCTTTCGAAGTACTTCGAGACGCTCTCGTATAGGTGCTATAACTTAGCCAATATTTCCATTTTCGTTCTAAAATTTTTACAGTGCTTTCCGTATACCATAGTACTTTCAATAAATAAATAAAAAATCGATTTTTCCAAACCAAGTTATCAGACTACTACCTTAATGGTACCCTGAGAATATTATACTTTTAATCGCTTTAATTTTTGACTACTTTTTATCTTCTAAAGAACCGTATCTCAATTACTCCAAGAATTAATGCTCGAATCCCTTTCGAATCGACTTTCCACCGACTTTGTTCAATTATACACAAAGCTTATCCATAAAAATAGGTGTCAAAGATTCAGCTTCTGTCAGTTCTTCTGTTTTTAAATTGCTCAAACCCTTTAGCTGTTTTTTATTTTCATGGCTGATATACTTTCGTATATGCCAGATTATTGTTGAAGCTGTGAGGCTCATTTATTTAATTTTTTTTTACTGTCGAAAGGTAATTCTGTGGTTTCAATACTATTAGATTGACCGCTCTTAAAAAACCTCTGCAAATTTTTTATATATCCTAACCTAACCTAGCCTTATTATATATTAGTGTTGTTATCCTAACCTAACTTAATGCAAATACTGAGAAATGAAAATAAGTCAGCTCAAAATAAACGAAACGAACCTGTAAGTTTTTTCTCGAACAAATAATGTCAACTTGATAAGATTCCATAGAAATATTTGAGAATTATCACTGCACAAATAAAAATAAAACACTTTTTCTAATATATATTCAAAATTATAGCATTTTTCTACTAAAAAAAGATTATGCAATATTTTTTAACTATTCAAAGAACTTCAAAGTGACAAACCGAATTGCTAGTCGCCAAAATGTAGGCAACTTACTTTTAACTAGTTTTGCGTATATGAAATTAAAGGTTTTTGTAGTGCTGCTCGCCATTAAGTGCGTTAACTTTTCCAATATAATTAAATATTTGAGTTTTCTTTTAATTAAAAATTATAAAATTATCGAAAATTTTTTATAACTATAGGCAATTCCAACCATATTTTTTATTCTCTAAAAGAAGCTATAATGAAATAATACAAGGTTTCGAAAGGTGATACGTTTTTTACTGAATACAAATGTTTAATAACCTCAAATTGTTAAAAAAATTCAAACTTTTTAAATATAATATAGTAAAGAATTTAAGATGCAATTCGCAATAAAGTTAGTAAATAGTCGCTTACTTAGTTTTTCTACTTCATTTAATTTTTTTTTTCAAGAAGTTATTAAACTAACTTCTATAAGTCTAGGCATGTTATTAGAGATTTAATTTTCTTTAAATCTGCCGTGTATATATATCGGTTTGAACAGATTTGATGAGTCATGAGTGGTTGTATTTTAATTTATTGACATTTTTGTTTTATAAAAGTGTAAATTAAAAATAAAAATTCTTAAAAATAACAAAAGTTAAATCTAAAATATTTTAAGTTTCATAGTTCCATAATAATTATTTAACTAAATGTTTAAAAGTTATTCATTATCAGAAAGTTTATTGGCATACGATTGTTAATAACATGTTTACTAATCGTACGTTTTTTAAACAAATTTTTATTAAATTAGTATATTTATATAAATGTATGCATACTTACTACAAAATTCTTATAACCACAAAATTTCATACCCATTTGATTTAAGCTTTAAATTCCCAGTATTTGTTCATATTAGAAAACAGTATTTTTAATCTTAAGTGTTATTTTGCATATTTTTGTTTCCTTAGATGCGCCCGATGCGCCTGTAGGTACTGTTGTCGTTGAACAATTAAGGCTGCCACATAAGAAAGGTTTAATTTGCGTTCCACTTTTTTTCATATATCAAAACAGTTTTGGTTGTTGTGGAAAGTTTAATAAATTTTGAAAACCAATAAACAACAATAAACTATGAAATCGCCATGCAAAGTACTAAACACACGCGTTTATCTGGTGGCTGAGCCCCTGCCAAACTAACAAAGAATGTTTTAAATCATTTCGACGGCTTTTAGCACGCACCTAACTGTATATTAGTCTATACAGCTATAAAAAACATTTAATTACTTTGTAATATCTGCAACTCGCGCTTATACTACTACATACATACCTACATAACGTAATTATTTACTAAAAACGTAAATAGAAATAAAATAAGTAAAATTAATTTTTTTTTTTTTAATTTCGGTGTCGATTTACTTACAAATGTAATTTGACTTAGCATTATATATTGATTAGCTTAACATCGTTAGCCTGGTATTTAGATTCGAGTAGCTTTTTGAAGCCCACTGTCTGGGCATTCTTAACCATAAACTACTTATAACTCTGTCTTAGCTTCTATAAAACATTTGATCGTGTGTGTGTAACAATTGCTTACATTAATGGTATTTAGTAATCGTATTGTATATCTAAATTTTCAATGGCTGTTCATACTACTTGTATACTTGTCTGGTGTTATGTTTTTTGCTTCATTTGTACATATTTACTTACAATTTTAACAATATATATACAATACAAATATACTCATTTAATTGCTTTTAAACCTATATATTGGATTTTATATATGCCTCCGCAACTATTTTACTAATTACGCACTTTCCTTTAATTTAATCCTTGAACGCTTTTAGCGGTACGCGCTGGCGATTATTATATGTTCGAGGATGTTGACGATAAGTTTGAATTGGACGTGATTGATGATGAGCAAGATTTCCTCTCCGAGCAGGAGAGTGAGAAAAAATTGCAGAGACGTAAAACGGTCATACATGTGAGTATAAAAAAATATTAAATTGCATATGCATATATACTTGTAATATATAAATAAGTATGTATGTATTGAACTAGTATTTAGTATAAGTAAGCTAACTATTGTTGTGCTACATAACAAAGACATGCCTACAAACATATATAGATTTTAAGCGTATGCAATGTATTTGCTGTAGCCGCAAAGTTGTTAATACACGGCTAAATGAAAGTACAGTGGGTGTCAGCAGCATTCGTACGATTGTATTAAATTATTTACAGGCAAATTATTATTATTCAATTTATAAATTATGTAAATGAAATACACTATTATATACAGGGTTGCGAATTTTTTTTTTCAAAAATTTTGGACTAAAAATTAGATCCAAAATTACAATGAAAAATGAATAATTCAATATGTTTTTTATAATAATAATTAATTTTCAACTATTCAATGAGCTCCGAAGACAAAACCTAAATGCTAGTCGCCTAAATGTAGGCAACATCCCTTGTACTAGTTTTCCGTGGATGAAAAAAAAGTTTTTTTAGTGATACACGCCGTAAAAAGGAAAAAGGTTTCAAATCAATTTAATACTTGACTAAAATTATTAAAAAGTAGTATCCTTTAGCTAAATAAACAATCTTTAATAACTTAAAATTGTTAAAAAATTCGAATTTTTAATTTAATAAATTAATTGCAAAAATTTTCGTATTTTGCACATCTCAACTGAGAAAGATCTTGGAAAAAAATTAATTATTTGACAATTTGTTTTATTAATAATTTGAAATTTTTCGCAATTTTTTTAAAACTGTAGCCAAATTCAACTTTATTTTTTATTTTCTTAAAAAAACGCGACTGAATTAATTCAAAATTTTTAAAAGAGATAATATTTTGCTCAATAAATAATGCTTAACAACCTAAAATTGTTAAAAAATTGGAATTTTTTATTTAAAAGTTGTATGTATTGCAAAAATTTTATATTTCACTATTTTTTTTATAAAAAATTTAAAAATTTTTGAATTATTTTTTTGTTTGTAATTATAGCCATTTATAGCTATATATTTTATTTTCTAAGAAAAACAGTACTAATACAGAATTTTTAAAATATATTGTCTTCTTACTCCGAAAATATTTAAAAACCCTACTCCCCCTTAATGAATAATTTATATAAAAATAATAATCCAATTAATTTAAAAAATTTTCGATATATATATATATAATATAGTTGACACTCACTGTACAGTTACTATATAAGAAAGTGCTAATATTTCTACTAAATTAATCTATTCAACACTTGCTGCCCAAATTCGGATGCTTTTCAAAATTTTAACCAAACTAAACACACAAAAACTCACTAACACTATCAAAAACATTGACACAATACCAAACAAAAAAGGTTTGGAAGGACATACAAACGGCCGAGTTTCGACGTCAAGTTTATATGCGTCAGCGTTCATACGCTTCAGCGCCTGGCTCCCGCATTGGTATAAAAATCGACGAAGAATTAGAGAGCGAAGACGCTAAGGAGGCTGGCGCACGCACATCAACGCTATCCGAGCCGTACGACTATACGGTGCCGCCGCGCTCGGCTAGCGGCTTCTTTGTGAGTTAACGAATTTGCTGAAATTAGTATACAAAAATTAAATAAATAAATAGTTTCGATGTGTCTCGCTGTGATGCACCCACTCACTTACCGAAATGGACCAAAAAAAAAATGCTGTATATTATACTCCTACAACATTTGTAAAAGAAAATAATCACGACTTTTAGAACCATCTGTCTTTTGTCAATGTGTAAATGCAATCAGTTTTTGCTTTAAACTCTTTTTATGCTAAATTTTATTTTGACTCACAAAGCGTTGCGCGTTAACCTTCGACTTAAAAATATTTGAAGTTCTACGCAATACCGCTACGTGTCGTTAAACTTCTGCTAATATAAGTGTTTCAAATAAAATGACCACCAAATTCCCACAAATCACATATACACACATAAATATTTTACTAAAAGCACAAATTTAATTCGTTAAGCAGCAGCAAATAAAAATAAACACAAATAGCAGTCACATCAATTAGTGATCGCTTAAACACTTTAGAGTTTACTACACTTCTGCTTCTACAGCTAATATTCATTCACTAACACACATTTTTTATATACATATATAGTCACATTTATTTAATAAGTAGCTCCTTAAAGCATAAACTTAATTTTGTCAGTAGTTTAACACTTAGTTTAGACACTGTACTGCGTAAGGCTAAGCACATAGTGAGGTGCTGTATAGCGTCGCTCAAAGTGAAACTCAATGTATGAAAAAATGCGTTACTAAGTATTGCAATTGCATCCTCTTTATTTATTTGCTCATACCAAATTCTTACTCTGCGCTCCACTGTGTGCTTAGCCTTAGCTATAAGAAATACAAATTTCTTTATAAAACACCGAGAATTCCAAGCTGTGAATGCACATCTATAACACAAGTAAACAACTCATATATCGAATGTGTATATAATTATATATACACACACACACATAACCACATTTTATCTAAAAAAACATGTCCTTAAAGTTTAGAGTTGTTTTATTAAACCATGTTTCTCGTATTAAAAATTGTAATGAAATATTTTCATTCCGATCTGTAACAGACCGACATTAAGCGCAAATCTGAATCAGAGCCATCAACCAGCAAGGAGGCTAAAGAGGCTACAGAAATGGAGGAAAAGAAGAAGAAGGGCGATGTTGTCGATTCCGAGGAGTCTGAAGATGGTAAGAAAATAATTTTTTTTAAAAAGCAAAAATATTGCTAATTTATAATTTTTATTTTTTAATATTTAAATTAATATTAATTTTTATTTTTTGGTATTTAATAAATATTTATTATTATTATTTTTTTTGTTTTATTTAATAAGTTTTTATTTGTTGAGATTTTTTCTAATATTTAATCTATCATATATGTATGCACATTATTAATTCAATCAAAAAAATGTTATTACTTTTTGCAGATTTGGAAGCAAATCCAATCGTTCGTCTGTTGGAAGGTTTTCTGGTGTCTGTGACAATTGGCTTACATCGTTTGTCACGCAACTACCGTTATGTTAATAAAATAATGTCCAATGAAAAGCGTTTGCTTAAGGTAAACTGTTTCATATATTTCGTGATATAAAAGGAAAGGTAGTTCCTATTAATAACTAATGCTATCTTTTTGCTGGAACTATGACACTTAGATCATTTATCTCTATCAGATTTTAATTTATGAAAAATTTTTATAAATATTCAAAAATTCCAGTATTCGTAATACTTTTTTGTATCATGATATTTTTACACATATATCATGATATTTTTAAGAAAGGTAAAATTTTATCAACATTTTTTTAGTTTTAATTTTTTTTTATTTTTCAGGAAACTCATAGCGTTAATTTGGTCTATGCAACCGATAGCTCGGTCTATGTTGACATCAAGGGTTTATCGCCAAAGTACGTAAATCGATATTACTTTTATAGATAACATATATTTTGCTTGTTGATTTTGTAAAGTAAAATTTTAATTGTTCGATTTTCGTATGCTTTTATGAGTCCTTACGTGTTACCAACGCTTATAGGTACGAATTAGTCGAAATTCTGTGCATTAATTTAATTTTCTTCAATTTTTCATTTGATTGTTTGCTTACATTATATTTATATTTTAATCAAATTTGTAAAATAATTTTTTTTTGTTTAGACTGCACATTTCTAATTTAAATTTATTACTTGTATAATGTAATGCAAAAAAAAAGTAATCAATATTATTTTTAATCTATTATTTTTATAAATTTTAAATAATTTTTTTTATTTTTAACTCTAATATTTTTGTAAATAAGTTTATTGCTAGTATAAAGTGTAATGCAATCTTTACGCAAAAATTTTTTTTATAGATTTTTTATAATTTTTTTTTTAAAATATAATTCATAAATTTTAAATAATTTTTATTTATTTTAAGTTGAATATTTTTTGAAATAAGTTTATTGTTAATATAAAGTATGGAATAATCTTAATGCAAAAAATAAAATATTTTTTTACAATTTTTTTGTATCTATTATTTTTATAAATTTTAAATAACTTTTATAAAATTTTTTTTTTAAATTTAATATTTTTTTAAATAAGTTTATTGTTGGTATAATCTTAATGCAAAAAGTAATTAATTTTTATAAATTTTTTATTTTTTTTTTAAACTATAATTTTCATAAATTTTTATAATATTTTTATTATTTTAAATTAAAGATTTTTTTGAATAAGTTTCTTGCTAGTATAGAGTGTGCTATAATCTTAATGCAAAAAAAAAAATTAATTTTTAAAATTTTAAAATTAGCTACACAATTTTCAAAAGTTCATTTTATAATTTTTTTTATGTAAAAATTATTATTTTTTTAAATAAGTCTATTGCAAGTATAAAGTGTGCTACAATCTTAATGCAAAAAAAAAAAAAAATATATATATACCCAAATAAAAAATATAAATATATATATATATATATTTTTTTTTTTTTTGATTTTTTTAAATCTATTATTTTCATAAATATTTATCATATTTTATATTTTTCTAAAAACGGTTTTTTGCATTTCACTTTTCATTAATATATTATTTATTGAAGCCAAATTTTCATTGCGCCCAATTGTTTATAATAATGTTAATTATTTGTGATACTTATACTTATTTTAACTTTAGAGTATATGAATAGTGCTATAATGATGAAGCTAGCTAATGTAACTAAAACCAAAGTTAAGCAATTATAAAAAAAATTAAAAAATGTATGCAAATTATATTCTTTTAAATTTTGTGCATAAAATTATTTTTTTTTATAATTATTTATTTTCATTATTTTGTTCTTGTTCTTTTTTTGCATATTCCCACATATTTGTTTCGTTTGTGCCACCACATATACTCTGCGTCGCGCCGCAAATTTCCATGTTCATCACCAACCGCCACCAACACGTTGCCTCCATCAACACTATCAACAAAAATATTAAAAAAAACAACTACAACGTTTTTGCGTGTATTATTATTTTTTATTCGTATATCATGAATGTTTTTATGTTTGCCATTATATACGATATTATTGCATTAGTGCTGAAAATACCCAACTAGCTGGCTCGATTGGGTCGGCATCGATTGATACACAAAATGAAACGAATACACAACCATTACCACATAGCATAACGAATGTGACCGATTTGAATACGATCACCTCAGACACTTCCCCACCGTCACCCTTAGAATCACACATAAACAATACACAACAACAACAAGAGCAAACAGCGGATCCACATGCCATTATTGATATGTCAGTGGATACTGTGGATATGCGAAATGATAGGTAAAATAAAGTTTACCATAAAAAAATGTGAAAAAAGTGGGTTTAAAAAAGATATTTTTAACTGTTTGTGTTTTAAAAAATACAAAAATAGTTAATTTTATAAAATAGAAAAAAAAAAGCTAAAAAATATTTGATTTTTTTAAACCCACTTTTGTTCACATACACCACTGTCACGTAACTCCTACATGTTTGTAAGTATTTAGTATTAATGTAGTTTTAGTAAAAAATGCCATGCTTGTAGCTGTTTGTAAGCGCTAGTCTTTCTGTTAAACATTAAAAAAAAAATTATTATTTTTTACTTAAACTAGTTTGCTATAAAAAAATAATAATATTTATAAGTATGTATCTTTGGTACTCATACCATATCACTACTAACACTTTATTCATTTCTCATCATTCTCATATACTTTTAGTTACGACGAGGATGGTACGTCCATGCAAAAATCGTAAGTATTTGCAATAGTGAAATATTTCGAATATATCAAAGTTCATATAACACTCTACAAAAATATATTTACATATACTATGAATCAAACAGCTATATGAAGAATGCAGAATGATAAATTATTTTTCTTTTACTAATATTTCTTAATATTTTTCCGAATACTATTCCAAACGTCATGAATACTTTTAAACTTCTCCCTTTATACTAAAGCTTTAAAGTGACATGTTTTCCATATAGCTCATAACCAATAGCTGAAAAAAATTAAAATTCATCAAAAAAAATTTCAAAATTAGCTACCACATTTTCAAAACTATCTACAAAATTTTCTAAATGAACGCACCTAGAAGTATGCTAAACATTACGTATATTAAACTTCAATATAAAGCTCGCATGCACGCTTTGCTGTATGCGCATTTTGAAGAAGCATACTTTTAGGATTCAAGCAAAATTTTTTTTTCCAAATATCAACTATAAACGAATTAGTTAACAAATTTATAACAAATCTTACAAAGTTCACTTTCTCAAACTCACTTGAATTGCCAATTTTTTCGACGTCACATTTCGCCCCCCCAAAAACACGAAAACTAAAACATACACACACATACATTTACATATATATACCAATGTATGTTTGTATGTCTGTAAACTGCTGTGTGCGCATTTCCTTTATCTACTATTTTCCTAAAACCACCCACCTAACATCAGTCATAATTCGGTAGACTTGCCAAAGATTTGCATTAAGGCACCTTCATTCGATTGCAGTAACAACTATGTGGGGATGTTGAGTAAGCAATGGTCATATGAAAAGATGGACAGGTACTAGTTGTTTAATATACTTCAATTATCATCCAAATTTTCACCCTCTACTAAATAAATAGTAACATTTTAATTCAGTACCATTATATTTTTCACAAAACCAAAGCTTTTGCATTTTATTATAGCCAACAACAAATGCTCTATAATTTTCATTGGTTGAAATTGCGCACGTTTTTTTAACCTTGAATTTTAAGTATTTCTAAAGCAAGTTATTTCTTTTGTGTCTTGAAGGCATGATATTAATTAAAGTTTTTTTTTCAAAAATTGGCTTAAGGAAGTTGTCAAAATCTAAATATTTTGAAAAATTAAGTTTGTCGATTAAAAAGTATTCCATTTACCCGCTCAAATTACTAACTAATTCGCAATTCGTTGTCCTTAAAAAATTGTACTTTTCATATCTCCTCGGTCATACATATTTTTTTAGCTACAGAAATGAAATTTATTATTGTTTGTTTTATTCAAAAAAGTTATGAAACCTTAAACTCCGTTCTATTACAATTTCTAAATTCTTAGTACGTTGGTTTCATATGCTTTTACTATGTTCTCAACTTAACATATCAAATTAGTTTATTCCTACTTTATACATTTTAAAATCTACCAAAAAGTTTAACACACCCGATTGTTAAAGGAAATTGCTTGAAAATATTTTACTAAGCATGAGACAAGATATTTGAAGCACTGCGTTATTTTATTGTTATTATTAAATATTATTAAATTGATATTTCAGAGTTATTATTATTATTATTTTCTTAAGATATTTATTATTGCTATAATTTTTGTTAGTATTACTATTATTTTGGCTGTGACAACCTAACTCCCTCCACTCAAGAACGTAGATTTTCATTCAAGTTCAGAAGAATTTACGAAGTAACATCAATATTAAAAATATGTTGGAAGGAAAACCCACCCAGAAATAAATTCTGGATTCGCTATTGATCGCCATTACTATTTTTATTTCTACTTGAAATCATTTATTTTTAAAAACAAGAAAAACGCTACTTTCAGCTTCACCATAGCAATATTACCCGTCACAGGTGCATTTCTTATAGCAACTATACTTATGTATCGCTAAATCTGAAAACGTAATCCGCCAATAGTTTCAACCTAAGTGAAAACGTTCCGCTATTTCTTTCTAGCCACGTTGTTTGCTATAAACAACCTTCAAGACGACTTTACCTAATAAAGAAAACCAATCGTTTGTAGAGATCTTTGTTTTGATTTTGATCGTCCAGTTTGTATAGCGGCTATATACTATAGTAGTCCGATCTAAACACTTTGTTGGGAGATTTTAGCGTTGTCTTCAACAATAATCCATGCCAAAGTTCGTGAAGATATCCTGTCAAAAAAAAGTTTTCCATACAAGTACTTGAGTTTGATCGATCTGTTGGTATGACAGCTACCATATAAGCGATTGTAGTCCGATATCGGCAAATGAGTCGACAAATGCGCTACTTCTTGAAGAAAGACGTGTACAAAATTGCAGAACAATATCTGAAAAACTGTGAGACTGCTGAATCTTCTAATTCTCTGCCACTAAAAATATATTTTTCGATTAAAATATTTTGAATTTTTCTTTTTTTTGCCTTTTGCCATCAAATTACTTAGGTTTGATTATTTTTCAAGGTCTTGGCGAAGTCTCATTTAAAGTTTAGGCGCTTATAAAGTGCTTATCTTCAATGAACGTGACCACCATTTACTAAAGAATATATAGACGTTAATTTAAATCCTTGAAATTTTACTTAAAATGACTAGTAACTTAATTTAAAAAAGTTTTAAATTCTCTAAACCAGAATAAGAGAATAAGAGAGTGACTTCAGAAAAAAATAAGAAACAACGTTAACTACATTTGCGCCGAAGCTACCTTCAAAACTACAAAAGATTCGTTACAAGAACTTGATTCCGATCGTGCAGTTTGTATGACAGCTTTATGTTATAGTTATCCGATCCGAAAAATTTCTTCAGAGATTAAATTGTTGCCTCAGATAATAATCCAGGTCAAATTTCCTGAAGATATCTCGTCACACGAAGAAGTTTTCCATGCAAACATTTGATTCCGATCGTTCAGTTTGTATGGTAGCTATATGCTATAGTGTTGGTTTATAGGGTCTCAGACGTTTTCTGCTGGGTGTTACAAGCATCATGACAAACTTAATAACACCTTGTTCAGGGTATAATTACGGAAAAGATTTGGACTGTTCTTAAGTTGCAGACTTTTCAACAGAAATTAAATTAAATTTAATAATTTTATATTATGTTCTTTATTACTTTAAGTACTGTTTATTTTTGTTATATTGTTATTATTATATTTAATCTTAAGTGCACTTTACCCTATAAGAAATTGTGTTTGCTATTAAAAATCTCTTTTATAACGGCTAATTTATTAAATTAATAATTATTTCGACAGTCACAGCTTGGTTATGCTGGAGGAAGACTTTACAGCACGTGAGCACAATATCATCATTGAGTTCCTCATTTCACTTTGGTATGCCTTGCTCTCGAATACGGACATAATCTGCTATTTGGTCGTGTTTATTAATCAGGTAATGCAGTCAAACTAATTTCACAGTAATGCGAAATGAAAAAATAATAACAATAATAAGAATATTCAACTGATCTTAGCCTATATTACTTCACTTTGTGCTTAGCCTTATGCAGTTAACAGAAAACTCGCATAATTTTACTTACACTCCTTTCATTCGCTTACAGGTGGTTAATGCCAGCATTATTTCGCTACCTCTGCCTTTAATGGTATTCCTTTGGGGCACACTCTCATTGCCGCGTCCAACGAAAACATTCTGGGTCACACTCATCGCATACACACAAGCGATTGTGCTCATCAAATGCATATTCCAGTACAAATTGATTTGGGCCAATTATATAAATCTGCCGAACGAACCATTGGCGCCGGCAAAAATATTCGGCGTGGAATTGAATCCCAATTACGCCAGTTATGATTTGTTGCTGCTGTTGGTGTTGTTCTTCCACAGGTTGGTGTGCATTTCAACACTGCTGAATATATTTAACTTAGTTTGCACTCTCTTTAGATTCATCTTGAAATCGCACGGCCTTTGGAAGTCGGAATATAAATTCCCGCGTGGCGTAGCTAAAATGGACTCGTAAGTTAACTAAATAATAAGCAATATTTTTAATAATATCATATTTTAATTTTTCTAACATTTTATTTTAAGAGGTATGGCAATTTCATGGACTTTTTCAAAATTAAATCCAAATCCATTTCGCATGAATTGAAATTAACATTTATATTCTAATTTATATATATATATATATTGTATATATGCTGTATATCCAGTGAGCGTTGTTATTTCGCAAAAAGACTATGAACTTATTCAAGCTGATAATGCCGTGCAACTTGCTAGCAGAAGGTATTTTGTTTTAGTACTAAAAAAAAACTCTGGTTTTATAACCATAGAAATCGAAACAGTAAACACTAGTGTTGATATAAGCCATAATTTCTTGTAAGCGAGTCGCAAAAGATAACTCGTTAAGTTACAAAATATATATGTGTACTCGAACTCGTATCAGATAGCGCCTAGATAGTAAGATTCTCAAAAGAATAATAAAAGAACTTATGTAGCGCCTGTTTTTCAACTTACTAAATACCTGCAGGAATATTGTATGCGAGTTGAGTGTTCCTTTGTCACTCGCTTACAAATACAGTTACAAACAGTCATAAACTTTGAGTATACAACAAAACACGCATACTTACTAACATGCTTACTCAGTATGGCTTATAAAAAAGTTTATAGAAAAAGACGACAAAGCTACATCAATTTACTATATTATTTATTATTTATTATAACTATTCTTAAGGTTCCCCTTTTAACCAAACTTAGAAGTTCTTATGGCATTAAAACTTATCGCTAAGTTTACATTGAAATCTTCCAAGTCTCCGATCGACTATACGTTTCAATTTTGAAAATAATATTGTAATAACCTTACACTTGATATTTTGACATTATACCATAACTGGTCTTCAGTAGGTAAATTTGTTTTTAAATGCAGATTCCTATTCCTTAGCTAATTGCTATTGGCAAAAGTCGGCTTGGTTAGATGTGTAATGAGCTCAAGAAGTTTCATCGTTATATAGGTTTCATTCGTTTCGCACAGTTTGATATCACAAAAAAAAAACTTGTTTCTTTTACTAAGTTTGATGTGGAAATCAGCCGGAGCTAACTCAACCTAACTCTATAAGCGAGTGGCGAATTGATTTAATTTTATATATGAATATATGAAAATCAACATTCCAATATAATAAGAACTATTGTAGCAGTGTTTCTATTATTGTAAACAGATTTCATGTACATACATTTTAGCAAAAAATTATTTATTAAGTCTTCTCAAAAAAAATAATAATAATCATTAGTCACCACACCATTTTTACACATTAAATACGTGCATATATAAATGTTTCAATATAATAATATTTTTCGCACTCTTTTTACATTTCCTTGCACACAACTATGCTTACCTTGTTAAGGAGAACGCAGCCCGAAAATGAGGACGAGTTACAGTCCACTGTTAGCAGAATAAATACGATAGAGTATCTGAATGGGGAAGCTGCCAGTAATAACACACCTGGTTCTGCCGATGGCGTCCGACGACGTAGTAAAAAAGAAAGACGCAGCGATAATAGTGACGAAAATGTTGCCAATGAAAAGAAAGAGAACGGCAATGACAATAGAAAAGAAGGTGGTGCCGATTCAGAGAATAACAAGCAAATTATAAAGGCAACTGAAACAGATGATGTGGATGCTAGAAGCGAAAGAAGCAGCGCTGTGAGTTCAAATACCTATCAGCGACGACTGAAACACCTAAAGTGCGTATCAATAAATAATTTTTCATATTTTTTTTTAAAGAAATAAATTCTGTATTACTTTTAGACGCGCCAAGTACCTGTCGTCTGTGCGGAAATTCTTCTCGAATTTACTCTCAAAGTCGCGCCTGCCAGCCGATGTGTATGCGTTAATGTTCCTATGCGATTTTATCAATTTCTTCGTGCTGCTCTTTGGCTTCACAGCTTTTGGCGTAAGTTATAGTTGTATATATAAGCATATATAAAGTAGTTAATATATATACTAGTGGTCAGATAAATAGTAATTATATGTATAAATTTGGGACAAAGTTTAAAGCTTTGCGTTTTCTAATTTTCGTTATATTGTGATTTAAATTTTCATAGAAATATTTATTAGAACCAACAAATAATACTAGTGGGCGATAAAAGTTTCATGGTATATTAAGTTTACCACGAAGTTTGTAAATCCTAGAAATTTTATTTAAAAAAACGTTGGAGACTATAAAGTATATATATATAAATAATCAGCATTACAAGCTGAGTCGATTTAGCCATGGCAGACTGTCCGTCTGTCGGCCTATATATACGAAAACTAGTCCCTCAGATTTTAAGATATCGATCTGAAATTGTGAACACGTCATTTTTCTCCCCAAGAAATACCTATTTTGTCGGAACCGCCGATATTGGACCACTATAGCATATAGCTGTCATACAAACTGACTAATAAAACTCAAAATAAGAATCTTTTTATACCATTTTATGCTATAAGAAATTCACTTGTAAAGGGTAGTATAGCTTCGGTACCGCCAAAGTTAACCTTTTTTCTAGTTTCATAAACAAATAAGTTAGAACAAACAAATAATTTAAATGTTCGAAAAAAATTTGTTCTTACTTATCTGACCGCCAGTGTATAGAGTATATATACATATATGTAATATATGTACAATAATATAGATAATTATTTTGGTTAGATATTTTAGCATTATTATTAAGTTTTCAATGTCTTAGTTAAAGAAATATACCTGACCCTTAACTTTTAAGTTTTTTTATTAAATAAATTATTTTTATTAAATTAATTTTTTTATTAAATAAATTATTAATAATTTCAATTATTATCCCCTCTTAGTCTCAACAATCTGACAGCGCTGGCGGCGTACAAACATATTTGGAGGAGAATAAAGTGCCGATACCCTTCCTAATCATGTTGTTGGTGCAATTCATGTTGATCGTCATCGATCGCGCCTTGTACTTGCGTAAAGCGCTCTTGCACAAAATCATATTCCATTTCCTCTCCGTCATTGGCATACACATTTGGATGTTCTTCATTGTGCCGGCGGTAACGGAACGCAGTTTCTACTCGTTGGCGCCGCCGATTATTTTCTACATCATCAAATGCTTCTACATACTGTTATCTTCATATCAAATCAAATGCGGTTATCCGAAACGTATCTTAGGCAATTTCCTAACAAAGAGCTTCTCACTAATCAACATGTTGGCCTTCAAAGTGTAAGTCTACATTTCATCTACACGCTTACAAATTTATTACACGCATATTCATTTAATTACAGTTACATGGCGATACCGTTCTTATACGAGTTGCGCACAATACTCGATTGGGTCTGTACGGACAGCACAATGACGCTCTTCGATTGGCTGAAAATGGAGGACATATTCGCGGATATATATTTCATTAAATGCAGTCGACAAATGGAAACTGATTTTCCCGCTATACGCGCGACGAAGAAACCGATTTTAACAAAACTAATTATGGGTGGCTTGTTCATAATCGCCATTGTGATCGCGCTCTGGGGTCCCTTGTGCATCTTTGCGCTCGGCAATGCGGTGGGTCAATCGAACACACCACTGCAAGTGAGCATTTCCATACGTATCGGTTCGTATGCGCCCATCTATCAAACGAATACGCGCGATAATATTATCGCCTTCGACGACGCCATGTACAGTGATATGAAAGGTGCCTATGATAAGGATCGTGCGGCGATTACATTCCTTAGCAGCTATGATGCAACTGATATTGCGGCCATTAAACTGCCTGGTAACTCGCCATCGTTGTGGAATATCTCACCGCCGGATCGTATGCGCTTGCTGGAGGAGTTGAAGCAGAATGGCACAATTGTCGCTAGCTTTGCCTATTCGATTACACGCATACCGCCCGATAAGAGCTTGATGGGCACAGTATCGGATGAGATTATCTTTCAGATGAACGAAACATTTGCTTGGCGTGAAGATCTGATTACTATGTTGGAGACAAATGGCACCTCGAAAGTGGTACCGCTACCCGATTTGGTACCGAAATTTGTTAAGGTAATTTTCTGTTGCGGATAGTTACACACGTATAGAAACGGTATTTTTAATTCTTAATATTTAATTACAGATTTTGAATTCTGGTGATGTTAGCATCGTGCATCAACTAATGCCAGTTGGACAAAGTGCGTAAAAAAATCTTATAGATATAAATATCCATTCTAATAACCACTCTATCGCATTACAAATTAAAATTAGCTTTTATACTGACATTTTCTCATTATTTGCTTTTTAACTTTCGCGCTATTAATTTTTTTTATTAAATTTTCAGCTTATCGCCCGCTGTTACTGCGCATGCGCACAAGTTCATCGGCGCGCATTTGGTGGGAAATCGCGGACTTCTGCGACGATAAGTTCCACGAGGATATATTGAAAAAATTACCTTTGGATAAGTGTAATTCAGGCATCGTTATATATACATTCAATGACAAGAAGTTCCCGTCGACATTCAGTTTTATAACGAAAGGCGGGTAAGTAAATGCAAAACAATATATAAGCTAATTTTTTTAGTAGCAGAGAAGTGAGAGCTTTACTTATTTTAAAGTGGAAGTATGGTATGGTATTCAATAGAGATAAAGTATATATATAAATGATCCACGTGTCGATCTGAGTAGATTTAGGTACGTCCGTATGTGTGTATATACGCGAACAAATCCCTCAATTTTTGAGATATCGGTAAGAAATTTTGCATACGTCCTTTTCTCACCAGGAAGCTGCTAATTTGTCGGAACCGCAGATATCGGTTAACTATAGCATAAAGCTGCCATACAACTGACCGATCAAACTCGAGTTTTTGTATGGAAAACTTTTTTATTTGATAAGATATCTTCACGAAATTTGGCATAAATTATTATCCAAGGCATAGCTACAATCTCCGAATATATTATTATTATAGCATGTACTAGCTGTCATTCAATCTGACCGATCAAAATCTAGATAAAATCTTCAATCAAGTAAAGGCATTTAACAGGATTGCAGCAGTAAATAAAAATGTTTTTGTCCAAAAAAAGTTGTTTTTCTAGTCTCCAGACTTTACCCTCAGGCTAAGAAAGAAAAATTTTTTTTTTCGCTGCACCCTAATATATTTGTACATATGCATGTTTTTGTTATATTTTTTTATATTATTTTTAAACCTTTTCCTCCATCTCCACAGCATTCTCGGCGTGTACACAACGTTCGTAATTGTGGCTTCACGCTTCTTCAAGTCCTTCATCGGTGGGCAAAATCGCAAAATTATGTTCGAAGATATGCCTTATGTGGATAGAGTGTTACAATTGTGCCTTGATATCTATTTGGTAAGTCTCAAAATAAGTTATACTTATATATATTCCTAAAAATGCATATATATAAATGAAATTTCTTTGGGATGATTTATCAAACAAAAACCTTTCATTTACCCTCCCCAAAAGGTAAGAGAAGCGCTTGAATTTGCGCTAGAAGAGGATCTATTCGCCAAATTAATCTTCCTATATCGCTCGCCGGAGACGATGATAAAGTGGACGCGTCCCAAAGAGGAGGCTGATGATGAAACCGATTCGGAGTCGATGCGCAGTCGCGCTAGTGGACGTGCGACTAGATAAAATGTAGACAAATGTTAAACGCACTGATTTTCTCACTTAACAAACAAAACTCGAAAATATTTCACACACCATTTGCATACGTACATATATATAAGTCTTACAATTCTTAATTCCACATTTCGCTGCACAAGCCAAAAAAAAAAACAGTTTTGTCGTTTTTTAAGCATATTCAAACACTTTTTTCCCGTTTATAGCATTTCTAACTGTTTGTTGCCACAGCCACTGCGTTCATATATCGATTTTTATATCGATATGGGTATAGCGTTTCCCAGAAAAAAAATTGCAAAGAATGTATTTAATTTTTGAACCAACATTTTTTTTTGACCCATTTTGGGGTTATATAAATTAGTTATGGCTATCTTTAATTATATAAATTTTAAGCGAAAGCTTATTAAAAACTCTGGAGTTCAAATATAAACATTTTGTTACGAAACTGAATTATTGTCATATATTCTATTGAATTTCTAATTTATCTGTTTTTAACTAAATTCTCGCTATTGTGACGGCTTTTCTCTATTTAAGTGGTCTATCTGTACCGCAGTGTGCTTTTAAGCGTTAAAAAAAATTAAAAATTATTTTTTATTTAATTTGAAGTTAATTTATTCAATCATAAATATGGGTAACACCTTTTGTCTATAAGCCTAACCCAGTGTATATTACTGAGGTCCGTTTTAAAATTATTATTGAGAGTTCATAAAAAATATTGAAATATTGATTGTGACATACAAGCCTTCATATAATTGCCGCTATTAACTTATAATTTTTTATATATTAAAATTTAAATGCTATTATATTTTTAATTTTGGGAAACATCATACAAACGCGCTTTCGATTTCATAGTTTTTGTTTTCTTTCAATTCTTGTGGTTAAACATTGTCTACAGTTGTTTTCATAAACTCAGACTTCAATACACGCACACACACACACACACACCTATGCATACATATATACATGAAAATACCCCAAAAGAACTGCCGTTAATTAATGTTGTAAACTATTTTTTATTACAAAAACCAAAAACAAAAACAAAAACTGGATATTAAGCTAAGTAATGAAAAAGATGCTGGTGTAGTAGCGGGTGGGTAGGGGGCATATTTTGTAAATGTAAGTGAAAAGCAACAGAAACATATTAATTTTAATGTTTGTATTTAGAATAGTGTTTACCGTTACGCAATAATAAAATCGAACAAAAAAAATAAATAAAACAACAATAAAAATACGGAATAAAGAGAAACTACTGCTTAAATAGCTGTACACTGTGCGTAGTATAACTGTGTAAGCTACAACAACAATAAAAAATATAATAATAACGAAAACACGAAACCAAAAGTAACATATAACACTTTAACATAAAACTATTAGTAATGAAACAAACAAAAATAAAATATATATATATATATATATATATATATATAATATTAAGAAGTCATATTCAGGGATCTTTAGCATTTTATACTGAATTTATGTTTTTAGTTTTCTAAATGCTTAATGAAAATACGCAAATATAAGCAAAAATGAAACAACAACAATACAGTAAAAACTAAACGAATTGATTAGTGTTAAGAAAAAAATTCTTCAAAATAAAAACTAAAATAGAAATTTATTTTTTTAATAGAAACGGGTATAGAAATTGGCGTTCACACGCGCTCACTGGCAAATTTTGTATAAATTATGATTTATTTTTATAATTTTTTTTATTGTCTTTTTTTTTTTTTTTAAGTTTCAATTTATTACAACAGCAAAATTTATGACAATTTTAACCAAACCAAAACAATTTCTTTTTTTTAATATTAAATGCTATAATTATGTTTTTAAGTGTGAACTTATTGAAACAGAAAAAATATGGCAATTTTGTATAAATTTTTTTTTGTGATATTTATTACTTTTTTTGGATTTTTTTCTTTGTTATAATTTTTTTTTTTTT